CATTGTGCCACACTTTTTCTCACTATGGCCCTTCAAAGTGCCCCGTCCTCACTGCTAGAGCTATTTGAATGAGGTCCTACTATGCAGAGCAGAGTATATGCATTATATTCCGAGCCAGAGCTGGGCATTGTCAAAAAATGCGGTAAGAGGATTCATGTTCCGGTCGACATTTCATGCATATAGTCCCATCCGATAGGCCCATAAAATGTAGATGCAGCCTCAATGAACAGAGACCACTTGACAATCCTGTTACCAGTGTGCATTGTTTCTGTCCAAGGTCAGTAGGTTCCCATCGAAGGCCCTTCAACGAAGAGTTTGACTGTGTCCTACCCGGTGTGGTAGTCCAGTATTCGGGTACTTCTCGGCCAGTCACTCTCTCATCTTGAGCCTAGGAACACAGACTGAGACTCGAACTGCTGGTCCAGGATCGAGCTACAGATTTCTTAATCACTTTCTAGCAAAGGCAACTGCGTCCTCGTTTTCCTGAATCCCACTGTGGCCAGAGGAAAGAATGAGCGTCACTTTGTTCCTGATGGAGTAAACAAATTCCCTGTCGACATTCCCAGACCAACTTCGAAGTTATCCTTGTTATCCCTAGGGCTTGCAAAGCTGCCTGGCTATCTGAGCAAATACGAATTTGCTGATGTCTATACAGACCTTCGTACAGAATAAGATTCCAAACATTTATGCCTGTAAAACAGAAAGATAGAAAGTAAGCCGGAATACTAGATGATGCAGATAGCTAGAAGCATATCAATTCACAACACAGCTTTTACATTCGATGGTTCTGACATTCAGGAATATAGGAGTGAGCCAAGCGTATTTAAAAAACGCGTCTTTTTTATATTCGCTTCACACAGTCAGCATAGCACAACATGCGAACAAGATGCATGCGAAATTGTATGCTGCAAATTATGAGAAAATCAGCTCCTTCAACATTGGTTTAAATATATTACGTTTTTTATTATTGTTAGTGGCGTGGGACTAAGTCCCTTGTACTGCGGACACTTCTGGCCTATTGTACCAGCCCCAGTTGATAGGTGAGTGTGGTTGTGGAGCAATTGGTGGAATGAAGATTGGCAGGGGAAACGGAAGTACTCGGAGAAAACATGCCCCAGCACCACTTTGTCCACCACAAATCCCACTTGACCTGACCCGGGATCAAACCCGGGCCGCCGCGGTGGGAAGCCAGCGACTAACCGCTTGAGCTATGGCGCGGCCTAAAGCAACACTAAGTTAAAGGTAACGCTGTAACAGGCCGTGGAGGCCCATAGGGGTGTGAGATGTAGAGGCTCCCACGTTTTCTAGACAGTCGACTCACAGATGGTGGTAAGGTTGTCAGCCTTACACGCCGACTGCCCTTTACCCACATGAAGATACCTGGTACTCATTTCTATTAGACTCTGAGTCGACCATGGGGACATAGGGAGGCTGGAAGGATTAGGGCAATTGAAAGTTTCAATAACGTAATCGGGACTTAGTCCCACCCCACTAGCAATAAAATATAGTGTTGCTTTATTATTATAATTTATCGGAAATATTTGCTAATGTATTAAAAGCTGTGGCAATTTGTAAATATGTTAATGTAATTAAACAATATTTCAATTTATGTATAGCTTAGAATTTGTTTTATCTAACGGTGTTGAAGCAGTGGGCTGCTAAATTACGATACTACGGTTACAGACTCGAGCATTAATCCGTGTTTTTGTTCTCTCGAGTTTACTTCCTTCTGTTTCTTCACAAGTACGTGAACTAGCAGCAACTCTATATATACTCATACAGACCCTGTGAGAGAACCTGCCTATCACAACAACCTAGAGCTTCGGACCTTAACTACACTTTGCCTATACGCCTTCGTGGCGTCATTCCCAAATACATTATTCTGTCTTGATAAGTTTGCCGAACATAGCGATATACTTACAGTTTTTGTTTCGTATTCGGGATATCCTCCGTTAGAATCTCAGTCAGCAGACCTGTTATCCTGAACATGACCAACTCGGTCTTAATCCTTACGAAAGCCTTCTAATATTTTCCTTAGTCCCTCCAGTTATGAGACGAGGTAATTTGTTAAACATTCTTCGTGATTTTGCAAAGATGCTGCCCACAACTACTGTCCCCATAATGTGAGTTTTTCTTCCATCCTGGAATGACTATAAGACTGGATCGAATGTGATTTTCCAGTGCTGGAAGCAATTTTGGTTCAAATAATGTGGCCGTGAAAGGCTTAAAATAAACTAAGGAACACTTGCTTCCGTGCTATTCCCAGTTATTGTCAGTACACACGCAATTTCTCACCCGGCCCTAGGGAACAAATGTAGCTGAAATAGCGTCTGTAAACAAGCGAACAAGAAATCAATACACGTATTAACAGAGCTTTGTTATATTTCATTTCATATTAATCGCCCAATTACGATCACATAAAGTTGTATCTTGTGTCACTCCAAAGTTATGTTCGAATTCTGAAGTCTCCTACTGTTTTAGTAAGAGAATAAGACTTCCGCTTAATTAACATGTTATTCCACATGAGTTCTTGGTAGCAGATCGGACCGCCGGGAGGACTTACTTATTGAATACAACACAGAAAAATATGAACGCGATGTAACAGCATACAGCAGACTCATACTGTACGTAATTATGCTCTGTCCCTGCAGGCCTGTTGCTCCGTAACACCAGTAGCTACGGTACACGTCGCCTTCATTTGTAGGCCTACCTCCATTTACTCTCTTACTACAGAAAACAACCTTCTCTATTCTGCATTTATATTCCATCATGGCCTCAGGTTTAGCAGTGCCATACATCAAGAGATTCAGAGCCGGGTTCTCTTCCAGAAGGCCCGGATTCAGAACCAGGATATCCCACGAAGATATGTGGGGTAGAAAAGTAGCACTGGGGTAGATTTTTCCCCGAACACCTGTTTCCCCTCACCAGTTATCTTTCTATAAGTGTCCAATACTCATTTATCATAGAGATTTGAGGTCGGGTTGCTAAAGGACTCAGACTTTCTCCACTCCAATTAAAAAAAAATCTATACCTAAGGTTATATATCTTACTAACCATATTCTCCGATTTACATCTCATTTTAAATATATGTTTTTCTACTGTTTATTAAAATAAATTACATCATCACAATTCTTCTTTTATTTAGATTTAATGGTTTCATAGCAGTACCTATGAAGATTACTGTCTTTATGTTCCGCCGTGTAGTCTTGTAAATATATACTGACTTTTCGGAAGATAGAGTTGTTTTCACTTGCCTCCGAAACGTCGGTAAATATCTACTGAACTACATGGCGTTACATCCCAGAAGATATTCATCTTGATTATTTTCTTTCTGCTGAATCATCATTTATGTCCATCCGTTTCAACATGAAAACGTTTCCTTCCGTTTTTCTTTGCTCCAAACATTTTAACTGTAGCCTATATTCTGTAGCACATTCAACCCCACCATCTCCAAAACACTTGTGTTATCTATTGTTCACACAGCCCCGCCTCGTTTCCTGTAGTTTTCTGAAACTTGCATTTAGTCATACTGTCTCACTTTGTTCATTTCATGAACGTTCAGTAATCAGTACACTGTTCTTCACACCACTTATGCTTCATTTCGCGACAGAATGCAAATCAAATCTTTTCGCCTACGTGCTGAAACAAGTAAAGCGAGGACATTCATTCCTTCACCGAGCTAACCGAAGGCGAGATCCGAGACCAATGTGCGCGTTAGACCACGCCGCCACTGTAATTAGCGTATCCGAAAATTTGACAGATAAATAAAGGTCCATAACTGGGTCTTACGTTTCGATTATACAAAGTTGTTAGGGGAATGTTAGGAGTACAGCGAATCATGACAGAAAATTTTTATTCTGTGTGTAAACCGAGGAGGGCGCTAAAGAATGCATGGGATGTCGAGAATTCCAATTCTTCGTCAACACAGTCATCCCTGTTTTGTGGGACCTAACAGTTGTCCTAGCTCCTACCTCCATCGATTTCTTGAAGCACCACTCTCACGTCTGTTATTCCTTAGTGCGACTACAGACACAAGCTCAATTAAGTTACGTCGTTCGTCCATCAGCAACAGTTGTAAGCCTAAAAATTAACAGGTAAAATTGTCCTTGTGCTTAATTTATTGAGCACCACGACATTAAGAAGTGTGGAGGAATGGAGTTATAGCTGCACTCTTCTTGACCTCAGCACTAGGTGTGGATGAGCGGTCACTTTGACGTCCTTGCAGCTTTACCCCAGGGGACAGGGTCCCCGGTACCATTGAGTAGAAGGCTGGGTGGGCTCCAAGATGATCATAACGTTGTGGAATTGATGAAGTCTCTAGCCCATGCCGGTAATTGAACCGAAGCCGTCCAGCCCGCACCCCAACGATATAGCAACTGAAGCCGTAGGCTTATGTGTTTTGTTAAATAACAATCAGGAAAATATACTACGCTGTTGAAACAGAAATAATACTGTTACAGTTTACAGTGATAACGATAACATACGGCCGGCGAGATGTCGGAAATCCTAGCGCCATCTGTAGGGTAATTTCAAGAACGAAAAACTAAAACAATGAAGATTACAGGTGTTTCAGGAAGCTGTGACGAAGGTGTACCGAGACACCCACTGACCATAAAATTATTCTTAATCTACTGAAAATATTTCCTTTTAATTCTTTTCATATAAAATGGACAATTTTCTAGAAATTCTATCGATAATGAAAGAAAAAAGTTATTTGTATGTACAGTACTCGATATGAATTCTATCTATAAACAAAATATCCCACAAATCCAACATCAGTATTATGTACCAGAGAAAGTTCCATAAGGCAAGTCATTGAATAATTTCTCAGGTCTAAATTTAAGACCCCAGAGACAGGTTCATTAAATTGTCATGCTCTAGGTAAGCATGGAGAGAACTGCAAAGCGGACAGCAAGCAAGACAGAGCACTTGAATATTACTAGCGAAGCATGGGAAGACACCACGAGCACGGTGGCTTTTCATGCACGAAGCTAACAAACCTGTTTCCTCAAATTAATATTGGTTGTCTGTAAGAAAGGAAATCAAGCAGATTAATTATCATGGCCCGTTACATTCAACTTATGTTCTTCTCGTATTATAATTATGATATTTTGTGGTTTTACTGAAACTTAAATTGTTGTTTGAAGAAGCCTCCAAATTTGTTACAGATCATAATAATAGACGTATCAGGTTACCTATGAGAGAAAAAAAGATCTACTGACACTTCTATGATAGTGGTTCATAATACTACGGGATTCAAATCAATTGTCAAGTGCAAAGCAACGAAAAGTTACACCTGAAGAAAATATTTATTTATTGTTTATTAAATGAAGTTGTCAATGTCTCCACATTTTATAACGCCGAATAGTAAAGTAATAGGTGAATAATGAACTGGAAGAAACATGGAAGGAAATGATCTTGGCCTAGTTAGATGTACTGTCCAGACATCTGGCTTGAGAGACCGAGGTAAGGTGTATCTTGGTAACGCGACAGTAAATAATCGGTTCCAGATTTGATAACTCAATTTATTTTATAATTTCCACGACGTAACTACAATTCGTTATTACACTAACACATCAACTATTGGACTGCCTTGAACGAGGTCTTCGTGACGAATTTTCCTGACGAATCTTCTCGACGAATCGTCTACAGCAGTGTTCACTGCTCCCTATATAGGCTCGGCACGGACCACTCACAGAAAATACATCGCTGCTTAGCAACGGATATCATGTATTCTTGTTAGGCGTGCCAAAAACGGACGCCCTGTATTGTTGGATGCTCGTTGGCTGGAATATGTTTCCTAGAAACGGCCCAATCTGTCACAATATACTCGTAAATCACTCAGGACAGTCGGCGTCCCGATCTTTCGAATATGCGTGAAACGCGTTGCCACTTAGGCCAGATCGCTCGGTGAAAAACATTATTATAGGAGCAAACATTATAATCACCATTTAGCTTACTGTTAATCGAAAATGCGGATGCATCAAAGGTTATAAAACTTTACGTTATTATTTCAACAGATATCAACAAATCATATAGTTATGTGAGGAACATGCAAACATGTTTTAACAATGTACTTTGACCTAATCAAGCTGAAGTATGCTACGGGAAAGACTGCTTCAGATTGTATTTCGAATAAAATAACAATTTTCAGTCAACTGCCTGAGATTTTTGTCCACTCCTGTGCACGGGAAATATCTGACACGGTAGGTTCACGTTAATTTTCGCTTAGCTAATTGGTTTACTCCAATGAGCTGAACCCTTCTTAAGAAGTTAAAAATTGCTCAGATTTTCGAAATATTCTCATAATTTTACTTAACCCGAAAGTGCATTACCGTGTTCTCTGTCCTGAGCCAAATGAATCCAGCCCACAACATTCTTATTTAAAGTATCATTAGTGTCTTTGCTGTCAATCGTACTAAAACGTTTCTAAGTTCTGGCTATTGGAAGAAATTANCCGACCTGAGAGAGGGTTAGCGAGGACTTATCTCCGGATAAGCCCTATCCAGGTCACGAAGAATAATACAGCAAATTAGCTTATAGAATCAAACGCAATTCTGATTGCTAATATTATGTAAATAAAAAAAAAAGTTCTGGCTATGAAGTCAATAAGGTCTTGCATATTAAGTAATTTGATGCTGTGAATCTTGCTTAGAAGTCATTATCGTTATCTTGTCATCAAGGCAAAGAAAACAAACAGAGATATCAATTTCAAATGAAATTATCGTATGTCACGCCAACACACTTCTCAGCCATAATATTTTGTTTCCAGCTGGAACTGAAACCTTTTTATTAACTTCTTTCTATTTTAGTATTGGTTTTCAAGCACCTGTTTCTGAAATGTACTCCACTTTCACGACCTACACTTTTACTTTACCCAGCCAAAAATTACGTTAAATAAAAATTCGCAGATTCCAATATTCAATATTGCACTTGTTTGCTTTCATAAAATAATAAATAGTAGGATCATGGGAGGGGGCACGCGGTATCGTAGTTGGTTGAGGAACTGTGCCACAAGCCTAAAGGTCGCGTGTTCGATTCCCGATGAGGTAACTGGATTTTTCAATTGACCTAATCCTTCCAGCAGCACTATGATCCTGGAGTCGACTCAACCTCTAACAGAAATAAGTACCAGGAATCTTCCTGTGGATAAAGGGTATCCGGGGCGTAAGGCTGACAACCTCACCGCCATCTGTGAGCCGTTTGTATAGAAATTGTCCGGATTAAAAATATATTAACAGGTAGAAGTGGGAGTAGATGTAAGTATTGTATCAAATTAGATTTTCGGAGAATATACTGTGAAGGAGAAGACTGTGCTTATATAACTCAGGATAGACCCAAGTCGCAGGCTGTTGTGAACACAGTAATAAACCTTCGGGTTCCATAAAGACGGAGAATTTCTTGATTAGCTAGACTAACAGTTCAAAAGAAGTAGGCCTATTTCATTCCATGGAGTTAGTTCAATTACTGTAAAGAGCTCCAAAAGCACTTTAATTAGGAAGTCAACGTAACGGCAGAGCAAAAGCATTCGCCCGAGCTATTAATTATTCATTGAGGATCCATGGTAGTTTCTTGTTAATTCAGGATCCGTGGTATTTTGCTACCAGATCCTACAATGGAAATATAGTTGCCACTGATTCGGCCACTTAAGGGATTTAAAAGATTTATGATACATATAGTAATGTGATTAATGGAATTCGGTAAAGAAGATCTCCTATATCGAATGAAATTTCATAGCTGGTCACTTTCCAATACAGAAATATTGTGAAAATGGAGACAACATTCTCCTTCGAAACTCCAGTAAATATATGCTAGAATACAGGACACCCTAAATATGGAAGCTGTAACATTACTCAGAAATGTCGGTAAACATTTACTTGACTTCACGACGTCACGTCCCAGAGTCCACGTCGTGGGAACCTCAAATAATCTGCATGTATTTGGGCTCAGTCAGAACTGGGATTCTAACCCTACAGTCCTTTAAAAAGAACATCGGAGCCCGTGCAAACACGCTGTACCACTGTCATCGCGGACATGTTGACACGAGAAACTGAGGCGATGGAAGTTTTGTGGTAACAGAAGAAAGGAAATTATACAGGGTAATTAAAAAAGAATGAACCGATTTCATGACGCATTGCTTCAGTTCTCAAGCATCATCATATAATGAGTCAGTGACCATTTGAAAGAGGAGTCATCTAAGTTGTGAATGGCTGCCACAGGGGCGCTGAAGTGGCGTCGTTCTTGCGGCAACGTTCATTTGTTCGTTTACCCTCGGAATGGCGAGTCCTCAGCAAAAGGCGTTCTGCGTTCTCGAGTTCGCGAAAACAAATTCGGTTGTCACGGTGCAGCGTGCTTTTCGAAGGCGATTCGGCATTAATGCGCCCTGTCCTAAGAACATTCGACGGTGGTTTTGACAGTTTCAAGAGAGTGGGTGTCTGTGTAAAGGAAAAAGTCCAGGACGACCACGAGTCTTGGAGGAACAAGTGGCGAGAATCCGTGCTGCGTTTGAGAGGAGCCCGCGGAAGTCAACAAATTGAGGTAGCCGTGAGCTTGCGATCCCTCAATCCACTGTTTGGCGTGTGCTAACAGTACGTCTACATTTGAAACCATATAGACTGCAGCTCGTTCAGGCACTTACCAATGACGACAAAAGGAAGCGGATGGAATTTTGCGATTCGATGCTGGAGATGATGGAAGACGAAACCTTCATTTCACGTTTAATTTTTAGTGATGAAGCGACTTTTCACTTGAGCGGCACAGTCAATCGTCACAATGTGCGTATTTGGGGAACAGAGCACCCACATGAAACAGTTGAGCACGAAAGAGATTCCCCTAAGGTGAACGTCTTCTGTGCTGTGTCTCAGGACAAGGTTTATGGTCCCTTTTTCTTTGAAGGAAACACCGTTACAGGACAAACCTATCTCGATATGCTCCAAAACTGGCTCTTCACTTCACTGCAAGCAGATTCGCATGACTTCATTTTTCAACAAGATGGAGCACCGCCCCATTGGCACCTGATGGTCCGAGCTTTTTTAAATGAAAAAGTGCCCCAGCGATGGATTGGTCGGAAGGGGGCCCAAGACCTTGCTCTTTGTGCTTGGCCTGCGAGATCCCCAGACCTCACCGTGTGTGACTTCTTCTTGTGTGGATATGTAAAAGATCACGTTTATGTTCCACCGCTACCCACTAACCTCGATGACCTTAAACATCGAATAAAAACAGCGATTAAGTCAGTGCAGCGTGATATGCTGATAGGTGCCTGGAGGAATTCTCTTATCTCATTGATGTTGCCCGTGCTGCAGGTGGTGGCCACATTGAACACTTGTAAGACAGGAAATAAAAGTTTATTGTGAGTAGAATACTTGTGACTTGGCTGGAGTTTTGTATTGCTTTCCTTTAATAAAATATTGTGTAATAAAATCGGTTCATTCTTTTTGAATAACCCTTTTTAAGCCAGCAAGCGATTAATACTGTGACATGACGCCTGCAAATCGGAATAGTGGAGGCAGAGCGGGAGTCCACTGCTAACCAACGGCTCCTCATACACACATTCCCGCTGCAACTAACAGATACAGAATAATAAATTGGTGAGTAACGGTTCGGTAAGCACGTTTCGTGGCAACGGAGAAACAGAATAGCACGAACTGTTCGAGGTGGTGATCTATATTCGGGTCGCTTGAAAGTTAATTCAGTTAAGGATAGTTTAATTATTCAGCACTCGTAAGGGAGGTCAATGATTCAGAAGGGAGTTCTGTAGTTCAGTTGAGTGTTCATCTGTGGACAACGGAAGCTGAAGAAGTGACCGTTTCGTAAATCAGAACCAAGTCGGTGACAGTGGAAGAGAAGACAATCGTAGTCCAATAAGGAATGGAGCGAGTAATTGTTTGCAAGATGTTATTGTTGCGACTTATACTAGAAGTGCCAGCACATCCAATCATCCTACCCAGAACCCGTTATATTCGTCTCGCAAACCCACATACGTGAAGTATATAATTACACAGCACGGTTTTGGTCTATTATCTTACAA